AATTTACACATGCTCATCGCCAAACCACGGCCACTATTAGCAGCCAGTCAATTTAATATAAAAATAATTAATTAATGAGGCTGCGCCTCATGCGTTTCTAGAGTAATTTCATCGAACTAAACGGAGGATGAGAAAAACGAAATAGGATCACGAAACTACAAACAAATGAAATATGAGCGACTGTTAGAAAAATACTTAATGGGAAAATTACATCAAAGGACGAAATCGCCATTTCGAAGCTGTGAACGTCTACCAAACAGAAGCAGTCACAGGAAATCACCTGCTCATAGGCTGAACGCTGCCGACCGATAACATTCCTTGAAACTCCTCCCGATGCACAACAGTGCCGTTGCAATCCATGTTCACACATCATTAATCTAGGTACTCGGTCTCTGACCCTGATACCTTAGATGAAGATGACAACAACAATTACGATGCTAAATTTCGATCGATACCTTGGGATGTAAACAAGTCAAAAGCAGGATGGCATATTAAATGAGCCTTCTCGTTACGATAATATAAACAATGCAAATAGGATCCTTCATCATATTTACGTCCTAAACCATGAATCAACTAGTTTAATTTAATCAGTGAGTTAATTTCAATGACTGTTTATCCTTACGTGTCGCACAATCATACAGTGTTATTAACGTTCACGATATTACCCACGTTGGAGCTTTGGCAGAAAATAGGGTCTAACGCAGGTCGTGACAAGACACATGCGCAAAGCTCTTCTTCGTCATCCCTGGGTCTTCAGCTGGTCGGCTGGGCAAGTAAAAACTGTTTGTCTTTCCTTTCTGCAAGCATGCGCAAAACTTGCCCAAACCATCGCAAATATAACATCTCAATCCGGAGGGAAAAGTAAAGGAAAGTTTGTCACCGTTTGAAAGTCGGTTTTCATCACTTTCTTGATTGGGTCATTTTGATGCGATTGTTTTCATGAATTACGTGTTGCGGAGCTGATTTCCGTATCTATGCCATCATCCAGGAAGGTCTTATTTTTGAAAGCAGAGCCTACAGCTATATGGCAGACGCAGTGTAATCTACTGTTTCCTTCCCACGGAGGTACTCATTCATCAAACTTGGAACGAAGGAAGGAGAGTGACACCAATCAGGGCTCGAACTCAGGAACTATCGGTTCCGAGTTCGACGTTTTACTGACGAAACAACTCCGATTTGAAGCAACGTGAAGCAAATTCCTTGCTCAGGAGAATTCGAGAATAGGGCAAAGGTTTCCCTCGAACGGAATCGAACCCCTCATATCTGCGGTTCGCGCAGACCTCTCAGACGCCACAATCTAGAGGAGCAGAGGTTGTACAACAAGGTTCTGTCTGATACCGTATTCCGGACAATGCATGACGCTTGAACATAGCGATTCGTCTCATAAAGTCCATTCAGCCATTTGTATTCAAGATCGAACTGATTCGGTCATGATAGTACGCGAGTCGGGGATGAAGATCGACTTAAACATCGAAACCTTAGTCTTCAGACTCAGCGTTCCTTTAATCACAACGGTTCGGACTAGTTCATGCCGGAAGCCGCTAGCCATTGCAATTCACCGATCGATCTTTCCGCAATTCGTAATTACTAGTAAACAGATTCCGAAGTACGTAAACTTCTCCATCAACTCCACCGCTTATAAGTTTACCTGAAGAGCGCAACGGGCAAAAGAACGAGAAAACACTAGGTCTATTGTTGTACTACATATGTTCACACGCATGCCGGCCAAATGGCACTTCACTAAGAATTTTACCTTTCCACGGAACACTGGAAATTTGTTTCAGAAAGTGCTAACAAAACAAGGCCGTCTTCACCTCTCTTACACTATACATTAATCGCCTTGGCTGCGCCTAATTATTTTATCCATGTACAACACAAACAGGAAAGGGGACAGAATGCAGCCTTAAAGGAGACCAGTAAAAACAATTTAAAGGCCTCAATTTAAAGTCATTTACTGTTACTACGTACTGGACATCAATATACAGTGATTGGATGGTCTGTAGCAACAGGCCATCGATCCCATATGTTTGCAGGCATATGTCAGCGGCGCTTTGACCGAGCACGAAGCCACAATACACTTTTTGTATCTTGGAGTCAGTTATTGCGCGGCACCTTCTTTCTAGCACTTTAGCGTAGATTTTACCCGCGAGGCTCAATAACGTAATGCCCCGATAATTCGATTTCCGTTCTCCAGTCCGCTGGTGTTTTCCCCGTACCCACTGTAGTTTTACAGGCACGTATTAGTCACAATATGCCTTGATCGGACAAAGCTTTCTGCGTTTTACAGCGAATTTCCTCGACTTCATCAGAGTTGCTCATTTTCAAGTATTTTACAGATTTTATGGCTTCACCTAGTGAAAGGCTAATATTCGTTGCCCGTTGCTCTACAGGCGAGATCGTGTGTTTCCTCGGCGATCATGAACATACTCTGATTCCATCGCTATGGCTTGCGCTCGTTCAGAAAAAAGCATTCAGACTTGTCCTTCAGAATTCTCTTCGAGAATAGCTTGAGTGATATCTAGAAATTCGACTCCTGCTTCTTACCCACCTTTCCCAGTAATTACTTTTCGATTTAGCCGATGCATTCGCAGCTGTGCTTCACGCTTCTTCGTATTACATTCGAGCTGAAGGCTCTTTACTTCAAAGCCAAGTCTTGAATGCAGCCTTCTTTTCGCTGAGAGCCGGCTGAGTCTCTGGTGACCACCGGGAAGTTCGTCTCTGACCCACACGTGACATTCGAACTTATTTTAAATTGCAGGAACAGGCGACAGATCTCAGCAAGCCGCTTTTAAAGAACTTCCCCACTCGGTTTCCACATCACTGGCCATCACCTGGATTTGTTTAAACCGCCAAACGATGCTATTTGCAAGTTTCGCCCTCATGTCTGCAGAATATATTCTGTATGACCTCATTCAGTTCTTTCGCGGGGAAGGAAGTGCACATTTCACCGCTTTAAGTTTATTTCGATCAAGGTTGAGGTGTTCGAAATTAAATTCACGGTTTACGCTTTATGATGATTTATAATCAGTCATCAGCTTGATTAAGACGAATTGCCCTTAGCGTCGCTCGCATCAGGCGAAACGGCCACGGGTCTCTCCGAGATATGATTACTATATTTACTAATTGGCCGTGGCAGTTGAAGATATGTGCAAGCGGCTGTGTGTATCACACATTCTCCCTCTCAGAATTACCGCGAAGAACCATGAAATAGATCGATGGATACAGTACTGAACCATCTTAGATGATAGGGCGTTTAACCAGCTACGGCACTCACGAGTGAAGGAGCAATATTTGCAGAATAAATGTCCGATACAGCTTATTTCAATGCCATTGCATATGCGAACAAAGATGAACAATAGTAAAGTGAAGCGCGAAGTATGCCTGTACGATACAGATCAAAGCATCATTAGTTGCTCATCGCTATGATATACCATCATATTGCATAACGCTCTACTTGTTTTTATGTATTCTTTTGAGCATAACTATCGATCAAACGACAAAACATCTAATACGTTAAGTTTACACCAAAATTACCCCTGCTAAGATTTAGTAAACACCATGTAGAAATTAAAAAAAAAACAAAAAAATTTCTCTTTGAAACGTCGATCCTCCTTACACTTTAAAGACGGGGCCATGTCATGCTCACTCTTTTCAGAAAGTTAACTGCAGGACGTCGATGTTCACTGACGTCTGATGTGATCAGCCACGATTGCCCTACTGGCTCTGTGGAAAGCATAGCGTATAATCTGTTGTTTTTTTTGCAGAATAACCTTTCATTTATCAATTTCAGGAGAAAGAAAAAATGACCCGACTGGGGTTCAAATCGACACAGTTTGATTGCCTGTGAATTCGAAGCTCACCAACAAAGCAACCCAAATCTAACGAATCTGAAGGAGAACAACGAACTTGCAACAATTTCGCAAATCTATTTCCATATTATACGATATTCATGATTGTCAGTCGGCCGTTGCAAACGGGGGTTGCCTTGGTAACGACTAATCGCAGCAAAACTCAGTTGCATGGAGATCACAACAGATGGAAATTGACCAAAGTAAAGCGAAAAGAGTAATTAACGCAGCGATGGCTACTAGTGCAGAAGAAAAACTTCCAAGTAAAGGAGAGGAAAGAAAAGTACATCCGCAGGGAGAGAAGGCGATTCAAAGGCGAAAATGAAAGTGCGTCAAACCAATCAATGCTTACCTTGTATCCGTGAACTCTATGGTCGGTAGACGGCTCCCAGGAAACGAAAGCCGAACTGTCGGACATTGCCTGCACGGACACATTCTTGACCAACAGGTCGCCGACTAGAAAACAAGAAAACGAGTCGGTCAGTTGTGGTCGCTCTGCGATGCCTGTCACTCGTCGCACTTCGCCGCCACCGTCGCGACACACACTGCCCATAGCGACACCGTCCACCGTCGCGTCCAAACGACTAGTGACGATGACCATCGCCATCAACGGCCATGATCGGTGGCGGAAGACAACCGGAAGCATAATTAACCGAAGCAGCAGCAATGACAGCATGAACGAAGTCAAGTCGTTACGCCACTGTCGCAATTACCACACCGACGATCTCATTAAT